TCGAGACGAATGGCAATGTGCGAATTGATGATGACGTGCAATGACAACACTTAATGATGGAGATGATGATGAATCCGTGATCATGGAGTGTGAATGGTGAAATTGTGAATAATTAGGATTCGATGACAATCTGCCATAGAATTATCGTGGGGCCGGTGATGATTATAGTGAATGATAAACATGAATTGACAACATAGTGAATAAGGCACTGATGGACAAGATTGAATTATGGAGATGATTATGTGAATGACACTACCATGAATGACAACATGTGAATAACAGGATTGATGACAACGCTTATGAATATGGGGAGGTATGATTATGTATGAATGACTACACATGAATGACTACACATGAATGACAACATGTGAATAACAGGATTGATGACAACGCATGAATTATGGAGGATGACCAGTGATGTACGAATCATGGCATGTGAATGGCAATGTATGAATAAGTGGGTGAATGACAACTTGTGAATTATGGTAAATGGGTGATGATGTACATGAATGACAGCACGTGAATGACGGCACGTGAATGACGCGCGGTATGTGCGAGCGTCGTCCATGCGACGGAAATCTAGCAGATGCCGGACACATTATTCTAGCCTCTCTCTCTATCTCTCTCTCTCTCGTTCGTCCGTCGTCTTTAGACTGGTAACACGCACCTCGTCTTGCTCTCTCTCTATCTCCGTCTGTTCAGCACTAAAACGATCTAGTAGTCTCTCACTCTGCTGTCTCTACGTCTATTCTCGAAATGCTAACCGATCTCCGTCTTGAGCCGGTGGTGGTCACTGACAGAAGCGGAAGATGCCGGTCGGTGCTTCCGTCAAAACGTTCGTGAACAAATTTCAGAGACGAGAACGAAATTTCGAACGAGAGAATTCAGGATTCGAGATTATCGAAGTCGAGACGGAAAAAAATTGCGAGCGAAATTCCATTCGTCCTCGCCTGGCTAGAATAATGTCGATTTGCACCAACAGGTGGCGCTATGATGCAGCAGCAGCAGGCAGAACCAAACCGCTGGTTGCATAGAGCTTCTCCCGGGCTCAGCCAGATGGCGCCACATGACATGATGTCGTCGGATGTAAGGCCAGCGTTAGTGCAGATGGCCTCCCGGCCCGGGCAGTTACCCACCATGCTCGCACAGCAAGCGCAGTTTGTCGCGATGCCCCGACAGGCGGCGCCACCTATTTTGGGCATGCCGGCCCCCTCGGGCATGACGGCAGTGCCCTCTGGTGGAGCGGCACCGCAAACGAGCATGTCGAGCATGCCGGCGGGTATGATGACATCACAGTCGGGTATGATGACATCACAGCCCGGTATGATGACATCACAGTTGTGTATAGATATATATATATATTTATATATATCACTTGCAGTTCGTTGTGGTACATTTGTGCACTTTTTCGACAGCTGTAGGAACACTGTATGTATGTAATCTGTGTGCATTATTCCGTACGTTATAGTTCTCCGCTAGAACCGCACCGCCTCCTGCTGCTGCTCACTACAACCACTCAACCACTCAACTTCTAGCAACCGCTCTGGTTCTAACTACTCACTCGCTCTCTCTCTGTCTCTCATAGTCCACTCTTCACGATCAACGACGTTAGACGAAGGCGCCGCAGACGAATGATCGATCGATCGGTGGTCAGTTGATCGATCGTTGGTTGGTTGGTCGACGATCAGTGGTCAATCGCTCGATCAGTGGTCAGGCAATCGATAAGTTTCTGGCCAATTGATCGGTGGTCGGTCGATCGATCAATCATTGGTTGGTCAATCGATCGATCAGTTTTCGGTCAATCAATTGGTGGTTGGTTGGTCAATCAATCGAACACTGGTTGGTCGATCGATTGATCGTTGGTTGGTCAATCAATCGAACAGTGGTCGGCGGTCGATCGATCAGTTATCGGTCAATCGATCTTTAGTTGGTCGATCGATTGATCGGAGGTCTTTACGCTCACACACGAAGATCACGAGTATCTGTCGTTCTTTGATGAAATCGCACATAGTCGGGGGGGGGTATTATTTTCTACGCGATTTTCGTCACCACTGTTTCGCGGCGGTGACGTCGTGGCGCGGCGCGGCGATTGCGCAAAGTCGCTGGTAGGTGGCCGCATGCCTTCGGTTGGTCGTGAATGCTCACTTGTTGTTAGTGCTTGGTGGTTAGGACTCTGCTAACATTCTGCTGCGATGTGGCGCACCGCTAACAATCTGAGACAATTTGAGACAATATAAGGTGATCTGAGTCAATCTGAGACAATATAGGGTAATCTGAGACAATGTAAGACAATGTAAGCTGACCTAATGAGACAATGTAAGACAATATAAGGTGTTATGAGACTATCTAACACAATGTAATGGGACCTGAGACAATGTAAGACAATATAATGTGATGTGAGACAATATAAAGTGATCTGAGACAATGTGAGACAATGTAATGTGACCTGAGACAATGTAAGACAGAATAATGTGATCTGAGACAATATAAAGTGATGTGAGACAATATAAGGTGACCTGAGACAACGTAAGACAATATAAAATGACTCGGACAATCTAAGACAATATAATGTGATCTGAGATGACTGGGGGACAATCTGAGACAATTTAAGACGATATGAGACCGTCTCAATTGACATGGGTTGATCTGAGGTTGGTCCAATGCATCCTGAAACGACTCTGGGCATGCTGACAAGCCCACAGCGTCACAATCCGATGCAACGTGAGACAACCTGAGACAACGCGAGACAATCCGAGACGTGTTGTAGTGGTGGCGGCCTGTTGGTGGCTAACACTGGTGGTAGCTCATTCTGCCAGCATGCATAGGTAGCCGTGGCATATCCGCGGTTTCCCTCTCATAGACAGTCGCTCGCAGACGAAGCACGGCACGTGAATGACTGCGGGTAAGTGATGGTGAGTGAATGACGGGGTGAATGAACGTACACACGAATAACTGTATTTGTGGAAGGTGAGTGATCGATCGAATGGCAATGTGCGAATGATGATGGAGTGAATGACAACACTTTAATGATGGAAGATGAATGATGGAATGTGAATGATGGAGTGATGAATGGTAATATGTGAATAATAGGATTGATGACAATGCATGAATTATGGAGGATGATTAGTGAATGACTACACATGAATGACAACATGTGAATAACAGGATTCTCACCGCGCAAGCTCACGGGCCTCTTCCGGCTCTACGAGGCTGGTGCCGGTGTGGGAGAGGGCCAAGTCTCCTCTTCCTCCTCCGCGGTAGCAGCCGGCAAGAACTACTCAACAGATCTCCGTCACTTGGTGTTGCTGCGCGGATACCAGCTCAGAGGTACGCGGGGCGGCAGCGCCACCTGGTGTTGCTACGCGGATACCAGTTCAAAGCTATGCTGCGGCGGCGCCAACTAGTGGCAACAAGTGAAGCAAACGAGTTTTGTTATGGGTGGGTACGGTAATACACTGACCAACGCATGACGACTGTTGCATAGCTGCTGTAGTTTCTAGCATTGACCAGTAGTAATAATTAGCACTATAATGTCGTTTAATTAGTAAAAGAACACGGTACTAATGATTGCATCTTCGTTACAGAGCAGCAGACGAGTCAACTTAACGAGGCGAAGGCAGCGATCGCTGACATCAAGCCAACGATAGTGTCGAGTCCAGGGCCTGGTGAGTCATCCTTCCTCCTCTTTCCGTCCTCCTCTTTCCGTCCTCCTCCTCCTCCTCCTTCTCCCTCCCTCCTCCCCCTCCAACCCCCCTCCCTCTGCTATCATGTATATAATGTATAAGTATACTGTAGTCCGACGTCGTTGTCGCGGCGGAGATACAGACGATGCTCAGCGTCCGCCGACTTCATTTCTCTTTGCAGCCAACGCCGGTCCAGGCATCGGGAACAAGAAGGGTGGCGGGGCGCCACCTGGTGGCAGGGCAGGGAACGTCGCCGTGAGCGGAGTGACGATGGGCGGTGGCGCGGCGTTCAAACCTCTGATAGTGGTGCCCGGCAGCCAGCAGGGTGAGCCTGTGACCTGTCTATAAAGGACAGTTGCA